TCCCAAACTGCTGCAGTGTGGGTCCCTTGTCCATGGGGTGCAGTCCTCCAAGGACAGGCTGCTCCATCCTGGGAGCAGGGGCTCCTTCTCTTGACCCGCTCTCCCCTGGGCCACAGCCTCCTCCAGGCACCCACCCGCTCCGGCATGGGCACCTCCCCCACGGGCTGGGGGTGGATCTCTGCATTCCCCATGGACCCCATGGGCTGCGGGTGGATCTCTGCATTCCCCATGGACCCCATGGGCTGCAGGGGACAGCCTGCTCCACCATGGTCACCATGGGCTGCAGGGGACAGCCTGCTCCACCATGGTCACCATGGGCTGCAGGGGGACAGCCTGCTCCCCCATGGTCACCATGGGCTGCAGGGGGACAGCTGCTCCTGCAGCCATGGTCTCCAGCACAGCTTGCAGAGGAAATTTGGCTCCAGTGCCTGGAGCACCTCCTCCCCCACCTTCTTCATTGACCTCTGCATGTTGTTCTCTCACGTGTTCTCACCTCCTCCTCTTCTCTGGCTACAAAAGGAACTCTGTGCATCTTTGTTTTGATTTGCTTCTTAAATATGTCATCACAGAGGTGTTACCATCATCTCTAATTGGCCCAGCCTTGGCCACCAGCATGTCCATCTTCAGAGGCATCAGGGATTGGCTCTGCTGRACATGGTGGAAGCTTCCTGCAGCTTCTCACAGGAGCCATCTTTGTTGCCTCCCCACTAACAAAAACCAGCCAAGCAAAACCAAACAACTAGTTATCAATTCAGTACTTTCAGATCTATGAATAGACTATGTATTGCTATTCAGAAGATATGAATTCTATATTGTGGAGAGATCCTGGTGCATTAAAAGGAAAGGTGGTTGTACTRAACAAAGACGTTTTTAGGGTAAATGTTTTGTGGAGAAAAAAAAACAGCATTGATCTTTGGCACCTTAGTACGAGTAACATGAATTAGTATGATCTGTTCTCTTTTCTAACTTCTTTTCTCATGTGTTTTTTGGTTGGTTGGTTTGGTTATTTTATAGGTCTTGGCCAGGAATACCCGAGACTACTCTTCCCAACGCTCCAGACTATATTCTTTGCAGAGGAACTGCATCAGTTTCAACAGCTCAGACTACCTTGGGCCATCTAGCAGTGATGGATGCAAGACAAGCTGCATATGAGGTGGGTCTGTGGGGGAGGACTCTGAATGGGCTGCTGCCGTTGTGGGTTCGGTTTTTTAGGAAGGCAATTATAAAATCTTAGTTATGTGTGTAAGTTTTTAACCTACACGGTGTTTTTAGATCTTAAAGATGTATTGTCCGTGTGTAGAAATGGTTTCTCATGTCCATTTCTTTGTGATGCTGTCTGAAATAGATAGGGTTGGTTTCTCAGGGAGTCCTCTCATTCAGAGACATGACAAAGGGCAGTTGTTTCAGCAGAGAGATGGATGGTGTCAGAAACAGGATACTGCATTTTGGCAGCATCGTAGTTCCAAAAGCAGATGTGYCCCAGTGCCATTCCAGTCCAGCTTGTTTCCACACACTTTCTTTCTGAAGCCTATAGCTTCAGCCTTAGATTTTCTCATAAAAGGTGGAGGGCTGTAAAATAATTTATACCTATCTTATATCCACAACTATCACAGATGACTGTTTCCACCATAAAAATGATTACTCTTTCTTCTGCTTTGCAGACAGCTCTGAGCTTCTGACTGACACAGACAATTATTTGCAGAACATCAGTGCTCAGCAGTTAGGAGAATATTTTTATGTTAAATTACTTGAAAATGTGTTTCTGCATCTGACCAGAAGTAATCTGGTCAGATGCATAAACAGTACTGGTTCAGTACTGCCACTGAACTAAATTAACTTCCTAAAGATACCTAATTTTAATAGGGAAATATAAAATATACTGTCAATGATGGCAAATGCCATCAAAACTATTGATTTGCATACATGTTTTATGTACTTAGTTCTGGTGCCCAGGAACCTAATTACAGCACAGTTTTGAAGGGAACATGGTTGTTTGGATACAAACGGTTTAATACAAATGGCTGAATCAAAGAGYTGGATACAGAATGCACACCACAGGAATATTTTCCTGCATGTATGTTGCATTAAAAATACAGTACTTTATGTTTTGGAGCATGGACTCTTMAATAATATCAAAGTGCCTTGAGGTTTTTATGGTAGTCTACAAGTTTCTGACTGGAGGAAATAACTTTTTAGCAGCTTTCTAATAGTTCAGTTCATACTCAKGATTTAAGAAGCTCCACCAAGAGAMTAAGTGCATCCCATGTTGGAGATGCATAYGTGGGTCTCAAGAGAAGGCAACTCCCTAATCTTAGGAACTAATGGAAGTGAGATKAAGATCTTGCATTTTAGCAAAAATTAAATATTGCTGATAATATAATTTCAGAAGTCTTTAAAAGGAAYACAGAAGGAACACAGCTGACAGTTAATTATTCATTTAGTTCTATTGTCAAAGGCTGAAAATAAGTGGTCTCTATGCAGTCTTCTTGCGCAATAGATCAGGGCTTGGATTTAGGCAAATAAAATTATATTTCGTCACTACCACTTTTGTCCTTAATTGTTGGGGTTTCTTATACAGAAATACAAATGTAAACTTGAGCAGATGTTTGTCCAGATCAAGGAAGAAAGYGCAGCTCAGCTGCTGGCAATTCAGCGTTGGAATGATTGGTGGGAAGAATCTGTCCAGAAGATAAAGCAACTCTACCTCTGAGATCAGGCAAATCTTGCTGAGCAAAATCTTGTTGTAAACTGACAAGTTTGTATGAATGTCATTGATATATTTAATTTCTTTTATCTGTTGCATTGAAAGAAACTACTTTTGGCAGTTTTGTATGTTTTGCCGTGTTACCGCTCTTGTTTCCTCATATGCAGTCTTAAGACTATGACTACTACTACTTAAGACTACTATACTCATCTTTACAAATTTACATAACCACTTGGTTTGGTTTACAATATCAAATGTTGCATGTATTTGTGCACACAAGCCCTTAATGTGRGCACTTAATGTGTATTTATTAGCACAGTTTACAGGATGGCTAAGGTACAGGATGGTCCAGCCTTCCCCAGCTGCCTACCACATATCCCCCTTGAACCTGTCTTTTTCCCCCGAAGTCCACAAACTCAGGCTTGTGCAGACCCATTTGTCTGTTTCAGGAGTCAAACTGCCTGGGCTCTCTAACAAACTGCTCCTTGAAATTAGAGACATGAGGACCCATGTCATAGACGTTAACACCCATACTTTCACCCCTGGATTTGTTTGTAAAGACATTAGCACACATCTTCCCTATCAGGAAGATCAGGGAAATCTTTTTGTCCTGATACAGTTGATTTAAAAGCAGTGACGTTTTCAACTAGGCTCTGAACTTGKGGAGTTTAGAGCTGGGAGGGGCGTATTTTCCTTCTTTTGCAATTTGGCGTCGCCATCGTGTGGTTGTTTTGATGAACGCTCACTGTGTCCCGGTAAAAGCAGGGAAAAAGTGTTTCTGGCCCGGCACCATTCTTGTGGGAGCAATTAGTGTAAGAACTCCGTGAGACTTAAAGTATGTGACCCTGTATATAAGGAAGGAAGGAAGGCAAATGGATTCTTTGCTACTTGTGCAGTTTAGAGGCTGTAAAGGAAAAGGCAAATCCAGCATGGTCTTTTTCTTCTAGAATCTTTCCTGTGGGATCAGCTGTTCAACATGTCACTCGTACCCACTGAATTGCATTAAACTCCCTGGAGATATGCATTTTCCCTCAAGCTCTCTGTACCATCTTACTCTCTCACTCTTGCAGATCACAAACACCTTCAGAACAGCCAACAAATGCTCCCATACAGAAAGTCCTAGAACAAAAAGCTGATACTGGCTTTCATCTGTAAAGTGGACCAAACACAGCAGTGATTCGCATTTTGTTTCTCAGCTCTATAGAGCAACACATTCTCTCAGTGTGGCAGAGTCCATTGCTAAAGCGAAGTGTTTGCAGCTGCAGTTCACAGCACAGAGATGTGCCAGGACAGAAAGCATTGGCTTTGGCATTCCCTGTTAACTGTAAAAACGAAGTAATTGCTTTCACACACCTTTAGTGTCACAGAGTCCAACCAGTTATCGTTTTGCAAGAAGTGTCAGGACAGAAGGTGTTTCTCAGTTACCACCTTCTTCTAGCAGCCTTTAAACTGCCCACAGTGTCCTGGAGTTATGCATCTTCATTCTCATATATACATGCCTTCGCATTTTTCGACTCTCACAGCTTCCTTTCAAAGGTCCAGCAACTGCTCTTATTAAAACTCTAGAAGATAAAGCCAGTGCTGGTGTGCATCTTCTCCCTTGCCATATGGTAAGCCACATCAAACTCACTAGTGCACTCTGTACTTCCTTCTCTACTACATCTACCATAATGTTCTCTGGATCTCAGAGTCTAAAGCTAAACAGAATTATAAGGTGGCGGTATGCAAGACAAAGTAGGGGTAATCAAGGCAAATAAAGGAAATGAAGATAAGGCAAGGCAAAGCAATGACACAGCAGAAGAAGGGGTAAGGCAAGGCAAAGCAATGACACAGCAGGAGGAGGGGTAAGGCAAGGCATGAGAGGGATAGAAAAGGCAAGACTAGTTGAAGGAGAGGAACAAAAGGTGAGGCAAGACCTGGGATGAGAGGGGTAGGCGGTTAAAGGCAGGAGCTGGATATGAATGACAATGCAAAGCATGACACAGGTAGGCTAGGTAAGGAAAGACATGGGATGGGATGGACATGAACAGCAAAGAAAAGCAAGCTTTGATGGGAATGGCATGGCAAGGCAACAGACTAGTAAGCAAGAGAAAGCTCAGAAGTTGTAGGCAAGGCAGGGCAGAGGAAGGCAAGTCCAGCGATGATTAGGCAAGGCAAGTCCATGGCAGGGCTGTAAAGGCAAGGCTAGGATAGAGAAGAAAGGGGCAGGCCAGTCAAGGCTGTAGTAAGGCAATGGAAGGGAAATGTAGGCAGGGTAAGGCCTGTGTTTATAACGTAAGACAAGGTTGAGCGACACAGGGGAAGGCTGGTCAGAGAGGCTTGCAAGGCAAAGCAAGGATAATATAAAAAGTGTAAGAAAGTTAAGGTGCCTGATGGGTGAGCAAGACAGTGCAAGGGAATAGAGTGGTTGTAGGGGCAAGGGAAAGACACATGATGTTGGTAAGGCAATATAAGGGGCAAGCAAAGGCAAGTCAAAGAAAGAGCAATCAAGGTTTCACCACATTTGTGATGTGCACCTGACCTCGTCAGGATCACTATTGGGTTTCCTCTCTCTTCCAAAATGTATCTCCAACACTGCCATTTTTCTCTGGCTTTGGGTCCCTTCCTCTCCAGTGTCACAATAGCCATCTTGGTGCCATGAGGTCGCTCTGTGTCACAGTGGACTAGGTTTATTAGGTTATGCTGTCACAATACACTACATGGTTCCACAGTGTCAAAAGGGACCCTCAGTTTCATGAAGTTCTGCAAAGTCATAGTGGACTGGTGGTTCACCAGTGGTCACTGGTGTCAGAGCACATTAACTTCTCTTTGGATCCAGAAGAGTCTGCAGTGTCAAAATGATCTCCTGGGTGCCATTATGTTCTGAAATATCACAGTGTACTGTGGGTTCTATGAGGTGCTATTGTTTTACAATGGACACTTGATTCCATGAAGTTCTACTGTGTCACAACAGTCTCTTTTGTTCCACATAATCCCAATGGTCTCCTTGGCTCTCCAGTGCCACGATGGACCCTTGCTTCCATGAAGTTCCGCAATCTCACAATGGACCCTTTGTTATACGAACACCTGCAGTGTCACAACAGACCATGAGGTTGCGCAGTGTAACCATGCACCATTGGCTCCATGAGACTCCACAGTGTCACAATTAACTACTAGGATACACAGTGCCACAATGGACCATTGGTTGTACAAGACCCCACACAGTCACAGTGGACCCTTGCATACACAGGGTCTGCTGTCTCAAAATGGACTCTTGCTTTCATTAGTTTATTTAGCGTCACAGTGAACCCTGGGTTCCTTAAGGCTCCATCTTGTCACAATAGATGTTGGATGCTTGGTTCCATGAGGTTCCTCAGTCACACAATGGACAGTTGGTTACACAAGGCCTCTCTGTTTTACAATGGACCCTTAGTGCCCTGCGGTTACATAGTGTCACAATAGACCATTGTTTTCATGAACCCTTGCTTTTTCAAAATGGACTCTTTTTTTGTGTGAGATTCCACAATGTAACAATGGTCTCCTTGGTTCTGCAGTGTCACAATGGACCCTTGGTTCCATGAGGTTCCATACTGTCACAATTGACTCCTTGGTTCCACAGTGTCACAATGGACCCTTTATTACACAGTGCCCCGAAGTGTCACAACGTGGTTCCATGAGGCTCTGCTGTGTTAAAATAGACCCTTGGTTCCATTGGGTTCCAGAGTCTCACAATAGTCTCCTTGGTTCCACAGTTTCACAATGAACCCTTGTATGAGGCCCTTCTGTTCACAATAGACACTTGGTTCCATTTGGTTTCACAGTTCCAGAACAGACTTCTTGGTTCCGCAGTGTCACATTGTACCATTCGTTCTATGTGGTTATGCAGTATGACATTGGTCTGCTTGGTTCTGCAGTGTCACAATGGACACTTGGTTCCATGAGGTTCCGTAGCATCACAGTAGTCTCTTTGATTCAACATTTCACAATGAACCCATGGTTCCATGTGGCTCTGTAGTGTCACAATACACCCTTGGTTCCATGTAGCTCCATAGTGTAAGAATGGATTCCTTGGTTCCACAGTGTCACAAACTACCCTTTGGTTACACAGTGCCCCTCGTGTCACAATGGACCATTGGTTCCACCAAGTCCCGTAGTGTCACAATGATCCCTTTGTTCCATGAGGCCCTGCTGTAGACCCTTGGTTTCCTTAGTGTTGCAGTGATCTTTTTTTTTTTTTCTCAGAGTCACAATGTCCTCTTGGTTCCATGAGGTTCTGCAGTTTCAAAATGGTCTTCTTGGTTTTGCAATATTACCATGGACCCTCGGTTCCAAGAGTTTCCAGTGTCACTATGGTGTCCTTTGTTTCGTATTGTCACAATGGTCTCCTTGGTTCCAAAAGTGTCAGAATGGGTTCCGTAAGGTTCAGTCATTTCACACAGATCTCTTTGTGTCTACGATGCCCCTCAGGGTCACAACTGCCCCTTGGTTTCATGGATCCCCAGAGTGTTAACAATGGACTCCTTGGTTTTACAGTGTCCCAGTGGCCCCTTGGTTCCATGAGTGGGCAGATCAGAGCTCTTGCACTCTCAGCAGCTGAAGGAGAGGCTGCAGGGACACTGTGCAGACAGTCCCATGGTGTCCTCACATCAAACCCAGCCCCACACCTGTCCCTGCCACACGCTGGCCGTGTAACCCCCTGCCAAGTCATAACATGTGCAAGTGACCATGGCCAGTGTCATTCATGGGGGCAGGGCTGATCTGGGGGACCCCCTAGGGCAGGAGGTTGGGAGGGATTCATCCCCCACATGCTGTAGTTCCCTGTGCCAGGTGGGACTGACCCCATCTCCAAGGCAAGTGCCCCCAGGCCTAGCCTGGGCCTTACCACCCTTCAAAGCATGGTGACAGCTTCAAGGCCAAAGTCTGAATCACAGACAATTTTCCACTATTTATGTCTATATGTGACTAAGAAATGTCCCACTATGGGGTACCCCTTTCCCACAGTCACCACAATACCAGGGACTATACATGGGCACAGTGGGCGGAGCAAGTTCTGGATCTAAAGGATCTGAAGGATTATGGAAGCAACCTATAAATCATGGTGCTCTTTAGAAAACATGAGTCAAGTTTGTCTTCAGATTTTGGACCCTGGTCTTGCCAAGTGGTAGATTGTGTTTGCTTATAGACAGTGGTTTGGTGTGGTTAAACAAATATTTAAAAAGTAAATATCTATGCTTGCTTAAATATCATCATTGTTTATGTTCAAATAAAATATGTTTGAATTATAACAGCTTGTCTTGTTGGGTTGTGTGCGAAACAAATTACACTTAAATTAACCACAGTATTTATGTAGCTTGTCAGTGTTCTTCTCATTTCAGATGTGATTCAACAAAATCTTAAGCAATGTTAGATCACAACATTCAATAAAACAACTTTAGCATAAAAGCCAGTGGGCTGTGTCCTGTTGCCCGTGGAACAGCCAGACTGCCAATGTGGGCACTGATTTTAGTCTGTTTTCTTGTCACTAGGGTAGAGAGATTTATTTGTCATGTGGTCTTTTTTTGAGCTGAACTGTTGTAACACACCTGTCTTGAAGCTGGCAAGGTAAGCAGGCAAAGGAGAGTATTTCACAGGAAAAAAAACAAAAAAGCAGGACTGACTGGTTAGCTCCCCACTTAAGAATTAATATTATTTGTCTGTTGATGGTGTAAATTAAATTAACTTCAGATTACTTTTATCACACCATGGGTTCATATAAACCACAAAAGCATATGGAAGACAGAAGAATTCGGGGAGAGGAGAAAAATTATTTTACTGAATATTATAATAGAGGAATAATAAGAAAAAAGTATCCCTGGTACTATACTCAGACATTGCACACTGGTGTATGAATGTGGGTAAGAAACAGAAGGAACTGAAAGTTGTTATATTCATAACCAGAATTATGAATAAATGGTCATAACTAGTCATTAGAAATTGAGAGCTTATTCAGGAAGCCTAGACAGGAAAAAAGGAACATATAGAGTGACAATATTCAGATAATGGCAAAAAGGAAAAGAACTGTCTCATAGCAAGGACCCATTAGCAACCTGAAAATGAAAAAGATGAAGTATATGGTACTTTAATTTGAATAAAATAATCCAAAGAATTGGTGATAATAAGATTTGAAATAGCATGGTATCTACTCTGAAAAGATTTGGGAGACTATACAGGTGATAGTGATCATTAAATTAGTGACAAAAGGGATGGAAGGAAAATCAAACCAATGGACTTGAAGAAAATAAGTTCCAGCAAAGTCACCATTCGAATTTCAAACCCCACTGTAGCAATTAAGGAAAAGCACACTCTAGAAAGTTTTTCATTTGTCAGAGAATCAACACCAAGGCTGTAACCAGGCCATTGCAGTGAGAAAGCAAGCAAGGAAGGGAGGAGTCTGATAAATTAAAATATTTCCATGGCTTGCACCTTTTGGAAAAGAAAAATCTATGTTAAATTATTAAAATCAACAGGGTGATTGTTGTAATACGTAGGGGAAAATCCAGGAAGATTAACATACAACATGAGTTAAAACTATCAAGGAGCCATAAAGAGGGACAACAGAAAGCTTGTGGGAAAAGACTGCTGGGGAAGGACTCGCTCCCAGGTGGGTAAGAAAACAGTTCCCAAAAGTTCCTCATGTGAGGAAAACCAAAGTTTCCTGATTTTTGTTTTGCTCTTCTCTGCAACGTCAGCTGTAACCAGATGATTTACAGGGGAAACAAGAAGAGACTTAATTCTATCGTTCAAACGCAGCAACACACAAACAAATGATCAAGCTATATTGTGGAAAGAAACAATTTATTTAAGATGCTTAGAAAAATCATCTGCAATTTTAGACAACACATTTAGATAAGTGGTTAAATAATCTCAAGGCTATTAGCAATATTCTTCAAGAACTCAGAAAAGATACTGAGATTCCTTGAGACCAGCAAAAAGCAAATATTGCCTACCCTAAAACAGAAAAGGATGAGGACAGAGGCCAGTCAGCTTTATTTTGTACCAGATAAATTACTGGAAGAAGTTATTAAGCAAATTATTTGTAAGGCTTTGGATGATAAGATCAATAACAATCAAAAATAACATCCCAAAACCAAATTATGGAATCTTGACTGCAGCAAGGCTTCTGACAGTATATCATCTAGTGCTCTCCTAAGCAGGATCAAGTAGCATTGGCCACACAAAACTTGGTTGAAATACTTAGAAAATGGCAAAAAAAGTGCCATTGGATTTGCAGTTAAGTCTTCCAGATGCTCACATCCTGAGTCTTGAACTGCTTCTGTGAGGCAATAGAATAGGGAATATTTTTATCATATTTATCAAGTATATCCTGTCCAGGTGAGCACTGTGATAATTGTGAAAGATGTAATTGCAATTGACCAAATCATGATGAGTTGGAACAAAGATCTGAACTAAAGAGGATGTAATTCAACAAGGTGAGAAAATATTACACACAGCAGGAAATAATAATTGGCTGCAAAAATGTGAGCTGGAGTCAGAGGCAAAGCAATTGCTTTACGGAAAATCTTGGTTCATAGTAGTTCACAAATAGAAAATGAGACAGCAGCGAATTGTGACCTGCCCCTTACCATACAAACAGGCATTCCAACATCCCAGAATGTCTCCAGACAACTTGGTGTTGGAAAAAATGGGACTGCATTCCTGAAATATAGGGAAAGGCTCTCCAACACAAGAGCAAAATAATTCTGCWCAAAARGGAGCTCAGRAAARGTTTTCATGAAGAACAGTGCTTATTTTTGGGAATCTCCTTTCAAATACAGAGATCTCTGTGAAGAATGCAAAGAAATACCAGAAGTGTGGACAACTTGACCTTGAGTCATACTGAAACATGACCGAATTAAATTCAATTGGACATCTGAAAAGTCCAAGACAACTTGGACAAGGAAACTTAGAGGGAGAGACTATTCACAGGAGCATGTAGTTACAAAACAGAGACAATTGCTTACCACCAGAGAGCATGGATGTTAGATATTAGGATGAAATTCTTCCCTATGAGGGGATGAGGTCCTGGCACAGGTTGTCCAAAGAAGCTGTGGCTGTCCCATGCCTGGCTGGATGCTGCTTGGAGGAACCTGGGATAGTGGAAGGTGTCCCTGCCCATGGCAGGAGAGTGGAATAAGATGGTCTGTAAGGCCCCTTCCAACCTGAAAGGAATGAGAGGGAGATGTCTTTACAAACTGTGGGCTCTGCTGGTAGGTAAGGCCAGATACTGATAGGTGAAAGGAGCAACGGGAGGAACCATAAATTCCAYAGGAATTCCACCAGTTGACACAAACTGTTACTCACCCAAGGCAGTGTTAAATCCCTAGATTTAGAGAAAAAGAACAGAGACACAAGTAATAAAAAAAAAAGGGGGGGGGGGAGCGTGTGTGCACATTAGATGGAGTCTGTATACAGCAGTCTGGGGAGTCTGTACCTCTCAAGTACCTCAGTCAATGGGGAAAGAGGGAAATGTGGCCGGGAAATCAGGATTAAAAGGAGGCTGCGTCCTCTAACAATTTGAGAGACCCCATGGAAATGTCCCATGGCCTCTCCCTTTATTGGAATAAAGTTACGGGACTCCTCTGTCTCCTTTTTGGACATAAACCTCTGGTGCTTGTGGATCAGTTTTCCTAACAAACCCAACCCATTCTATGATTCTGTTCTAGAGGGGGCACTCCCATGGGGCTACATATGACAAGAGACAGGGCCGGGAGGGACCGAGCCGAGCCGGGCAGAGCCGAGCCGGGCCGAGCCGAGCCGAGCCGAGCCGAGCCGAGCAGAGCCGGGCTGAGCCGAGCAGGGCCGGGCTGAGCCGAGCCGAGCCGGGCCGAGCCGAGCCCGGCCGGGCCGAGCCGAGCCGGGCCGAGCAGAGCCGGGCCGAGCAGAGCCGGGCCGGGCCGAGCCGAGCCGGGCCGAGCAGAGCCGAGCCGGGCGGAGCCGAGCCGGGCCGAGCCGAGCCGAGCCGGGCCGAGCCGGGCCGAGCAGAGCCGAGCCGAGCCGAGCCGAGCAGAGCCGGGCTGAGCCGAGCAGGGCCGGGCTGAGCCGAGCCGAGCCGGGCCGAGCCGAGCCGGGCCGGGCCGAGCCGAGCCGGGCCGAGCAGAGCCGGGCCGAGCAGAGCCGGGCTGAGCCGAGCCGAGCCGAACCGAGCCGAGCCGAGCCGAGCCGAGCCGAGCCGAGCCGAGCCGAGCCGAGCCGAGCCGAGCCGAGCCGAGCCGAGCCGCTCGCACTCCCCTGGCGCACACCGCCGCCCCGGCTCTCGCTGAAGCACTGACTGCCGGGGGCGGGCGCCGTCCTCCCTTCACTCCCTCCCGCCTTCGCGCCGTGCCAGCCGTGCGCGCGCACCCGCCCGCCCTCCCGCCGCCGGAATGTGGGCGACGCTGTCCCGGCCCTGAGGCGGCTGCGCGGCCCCGCTGGGCTGGAGGCGGCGGCAGCGCGGGGAGGACGGCCCGGCTGCACCAGTGAGAGATCGGGAGCAGCGTCGGGCCTGCTCGCCGGGGTGAGCGCAGCGGAGCGGGTGTCGTGGGGGCGCAGTTGGGGAGCTCGCCGGTCCCTCAGGACAGCCGGGCGGGGGAGAGGGAGCCGCCGGCCCAGCCTGTGTGACGTGTGACAGTGCCCGCTGACCCCAGGAGGTTCCTGCGCTGGCCGCGGGCCCTCAGGGCGGCGGGGGAAGGCGGGGCGCGGGGTGATAGTTCCGCTGTTGTTTGGTGTTTGTGTGTGTGTATGTGTGTRTGTGTGYGTGTKKGKGTGTGTGTGTGTGTGTATGTGGAGATCCCTGGGCAGTGGCGCTCCGGAAGAAGAGGAGCTCGAGTGCAGTGCAGGATCTAAAAAATAAAGTTGTTTTCGTGGTCAGAAAAGGGAGAGCGCTGTGGAAGCGTTCGTCTCCCTGCCTCCTCCTCGGGAAAAGTGAAGTTGATTCCCAAGAGTACAGACTAGCAAACTACTGTCCTAAATCTGTGCCATCTGCATGGGTCAGATTGATGCACGTTACGTTATGATTTTCTTTTCTTTTTTTTTTTCCTGGTGATTTGGGTTTTTTTCCTGTATTTTTAAGCGCTCTTCCTCTCTTCCCTGACCCGTGAGTTGGTACAAAAATCATTGTCTTTAGATAATAGTACTTCAAAATCTGCAGAAATCATCCGAAGCAGGTACGGCACTGAATGAAATGGACTTGATGACTACTCTTCTCCTGTATAAGTTCCTGCAGTGTCCTGTGTACTTTGCTTCTGCTGTYACTTTCTCCAAGCTGTGTTGTTAAGACTGCTTGGTTTGGTAGTGCTGTAAATAAGGCATAGGCTACCACATTTCACAKCTGTGTGCATGTGTATATCCATCCAGTGTGTGCCTAAGAGGGAAAAAAAAAAGGAGGTTCAAAATGTCAGCTCTTCTTTAAGWTTGAGAAAAATCTAGTGGCAAGTAAGAAATAATGTGCTTAGGTAAGCATTGCTTTTCTCTTTCACTGTCGAGCTCTAGTCTCACAACCACACTGGTTTTTAGCTAAAACTTTCAAAAGAGCAGATGTGCTTCAGTTTCCAGAAAGAGATCTTGGTGACGGTAGAGGCAACGTTTTCAGATCCCTTTAAATGCCGAAAAGATACTGTGGCTTTATTTAACCAAACTTCTGTGATAAGGCCAAATACTGACTGCCTGTCAGACCAACTTGGCTCCAGATTCTATGAAGGTTTACTGGGTGTTTGAGGTTTGTTTTGCAAGTTATGCCTCTGCCTAGGTTTTAAGTAGGATTGTAGCTAAGTCTGTTTATGTGGGTTAGATGGTATTAATTGTATGATTAAGAACTTACTTTGTAGTTAAAACTTGAAAAGACTACAAATACAGTTACAGTAAACACAAATTTACTCCAGTGTTGTAAGAATGCTGCCAGTGAGTATCCAGAKGGGAGCCAGCACCAGCTGATGAACTCAGAACTCAGTGAGTGTCTGAGCCTTCCACTACTAGCTTCTGTTTTAGGCAGAGGTGGGAAATCGTACTGGCTTTATTTTATTTTATTTATTTGATTTAGTTTTWAAATAACTGCTCTTTTCCAAAAGGACACTGGGACTGTGAACAGCTTGTGTACATATGAAAACTGTAAAAATTATTCTGCAGCGTTTGGTTTAAAGTGACATGTATTGCTWGGTTAAAAACAGCATTCAGTCCTTTAAAAAGTGATTCTTAGATTAAAGTTTGCTGGTGTTAGTGAGGGAATTGCAAAAAGATCAAGTGTATATGTGGSTCTCTGTTCCTGGTGTACTCCCCAGCATTTCAAGATAGTCTGAGTTGTGGCTGCTCCTTCCCTTCTTTCATTAAAGGGACTTCTACACCAGGAAGTGAGTTAAAAGAACTAATGTGATCAAAAAGTTGTCCTCTTTTTGTTTTTTTGTTGTTGTTGGTTTTTTCATTTAATTTTTTTGGTTTTTTGGTTTTTTTTGTTTGTTTTGTTTTTGTTTTGTTTGTTTGTTTTGTTTTTGTTTTGTTTTGGTTTTTTTTGTTCCATGAGGTACTCTTTGATTACAGCAACTCCTGACACAGCTCACTTGCCTGGCCAGGTGGACATTGTCCCAATCCAGAGGAGGAAGTGGAGTGTTGGTAGGGAAGAGAACGTAACTGCAGTCTGGAACAATCATAGGTGTTGTGATGGTCCTCAGCTGAGACCTGGCTTTATGGTCAGTAAGTTAATGGCAGAAGCCAGTGCTGTTAGAAGAAGCTACATTGTGGTTTTGATTGACTTAAGATACTTGTGGTGAAGGTAGCAATGATAGTAAGGGTGGTAGCTCTTTTTTTTTTTTCTGCCAGTACTGGCTTAGATTGATTATGAAGCCATGGTGTAATTTTTAATCTGCTTTTGACAACATTAAATGGGCTCAAGAGCCATCTATGTGTCTCTGTTCTTCCATGGGCCCATGGAAAATGCTATGGTTTTCTTCTCTCTCCCTTGTCTATCCATTCTTCTCTCTGAACTTTGGGTGCATTCTTAATATCAGGGAACAACCTGGACATTGTTACGGGTTTCTGTAATTTTTTTCAGCTCTAATTTAAAAATAGTAAGCTGTATATTGCTAGTACTTCTGCTATAATAGGRAGATTATTTCAAACTTGACTGACCTTAGTAATTACACACTTTTTTGATTTCTAGTGTGGATTAATTTGTCATGGTATTCTACCAATTTTATGCATCCATAAAATGCATAAATTGCATACWGACTGATAATTTTTATTTGTGCTCTTGATCTTGGTATTAACACTTTTAACAAAAAGAGTTCAAAAATGTGTGGAAATACACCATGGGAGGTTTGTTTTCTCTTTGGGCTGCCAGCTGCACTTATAATTCCTGTAATAAATCTCATCTTCTTCCCATGAATTTTTATCTTGACCTATTAAGTGAGAATTAAAATGCACCTTTCAGGCATTAATATTGAGCTTCCTGGAGGTGTCCTTTTAGTGGAGGTTGTTTTTCAAGTATATTTTGATAAGACTTGTTTTTTGAAATTCGTATCTTCCTCAGTTTGTTCCATTCTCAATCTTACTCTGTTACACTGGTACAACTGGTAAGKGAGCCCTTATTGTAACCTGGATTGCTGAAGGGATTCTTCTTTGACAGAGTTCTGGTCCATAAAGAAAAGTCTGACATGTTTGAAAATTATTTATTTCRYCTTTTTCCTGTATTTTTAACTTTAAAAAGAAACAAAACTAATGTGTAGATTATTAGAAAGCACCTCTGTGGTTTTTAAGATGTTTATTTAAATTTGATATCAGGAGTGTTCCCAGAGGAGACTTTGTGAAGCTGAAAAACTAGTCTGTTGGGTGTGACTGTAAAGAGAACATAAATACATGAATGGGGTTCCAAAATCTGTGTAGTAAAATAGATTGCTCTGAAAGATGAGTAAGGCTCTCGTGGAAAACCTCAGTAATATTGTGTCTTTCATGGAAAGTTTCTTACTCTTTGGAAAGAACAGCAGGTCTTGCTGATGTTTTTAAGCGGACAGAGGAATAAGTAGTTTTTGCCACAAATGGGATTGGTCATGGCTCTCTTCTTTMCTRCTGTCATCATTCCTGTATCATGAGYCAGGATATCAAAAAAGGTGTCGATTTTTATAGATCAAGTCAGCTTAAAAGTGCAAAATTTTTCTGATGCTTCAAACATACTCCCTGGTTGTGGGGAGGGCACAGCAGTACACAGGGAAGAAGTTCTAAGGGCAAGAAGGTAAGAGATATATACATTTCTGTGTACAACACTGCATGTAGGCTTACTGTATGTACAGAACTGGTRTTTTGAAATACATGATTAAAAGTAATAAACCTGATGCAAAACCTGCTGGAAAAAAGTTTCTGAAATAGAATCTTTGGCAGATAAAATAATGAATTCTTAAAATAGAGTCATTTAGCTTGGAAGGGGCTTCTGGAGGTCATCTAATCCAGCTCCCTGCATAAATTAAATCGGGAGTAATTTAGATAAGATTGTTCCGGCCTTTAACACCTTTCTAGGTAATCTATTTCCACATTTGACTGCACTCAGTGATTTTATCTTTCCTCTCTCCCTTTTAGCTAGCTGAAATTTACTTTCTGGCTTAGGTCTATTGCCTCTTGTCAGTGCCCACCATCCAGAAGAGTCCAGTTCTCTCTTCTGCACCCTTTGATTAGAGACTTGACAATAATAAGGATTCTTTAGAGCTCTTTTCTTGACCAGWTTGTGCAAACTCAGTTCAATCAGGCTCTCAYTGTACACCATGTGCTCCTGCCATCTGGCCAGCTYGGCCACTGGACATGGTCCAGAGTGTCTGTGTGAGTCCTTTACCAGGGAGCCCAAAACTGGCAGCACAGCAAACACAGTCTCACCGGTGCTGCTCAGGGGAGATTGATCCTTCCCTGGATCTGCTGCCTGGACTCCTGCAAACAGCCCACRGTGTGYTCAGCTGCCTTTGCTACAAGGATRTACTGTTGACYTGTTTTCAAAATTTTGCCTGCTGGGATCTCCAAATACTTTTCTGAARAAATCACTTTTTATCTGTTTCATGTCCAGCCCATCTTGTCACAGGAGGTTGTTCTGTCACTGATAAAGGACCTGGCTCTTGCCTTCAATTGAAYTTCACAAAGTCTTGCTRGTGCCTTTCTGCAGCCTGTCCATGTCCCTCTGACTTGCTGACCACTCCTCCCAGTTTGGTGTAAGTGGACACTTACCAAGGATAAGTAAGCACCTGTCCCATCATCTAGCTGATTAATAAATGCATTGGCTGTTATTGGTGGTTTCAGTGGTGATCCCCAGGGGATGTCACTGCAACTGTTACAACTGTACAGAGCTTGGTTCAGCTATTGCTGAGGTTTCTGATTGGGTCACGTCTGTTTTACATACCATAAGTCACACCAGATTTTTTGAGGGTAGAAAGCAAATTGCAGATTGTGATCTGTTGCRGTTGTCCAAGCATATGACTTAATTTTTTGTTTTGGAAGGAGCCCAAGAGCCTTGGGATTCAAAGGATTGACTTTTAGTGTAAACTAATTGTA